TGAGTTAACATCTGATCCACATATGTAAGAAGTATGAGTCATGACAGTCACATTTTATAAATTTTACTTTTCACTCCATTCTACTCTGATCTTGACCATTAAATGGTCGAAAGCTCGACTTGTCTAGTTTTAAATCGATTTTAATAAAGGCACTCAGCAATGTTTTCAGCTGTTGTTAAACTATTATTATTATCAGAAATTTCTCAACAAGAAAAGCATTTGTTTATAAATAAAGTTGATCTTAAGATGAAGTTGACACCGAATTACAGAACAAACTATTTCTATTTCAAAAAAGTTTATCGGTACCGAGGTATAGACTGTTCGACATTTTATCATGCAAACAAACTAGTGTTTTTGAATATCATTCAAGCGATCGTAAAAATCTAAAATTCTGGCTTTGATAGATTGATGTTCAGAAAAAACCGGTGGTTCGGGCAATAACGCCAAAAACGCCGATCAAACGTGTGCCAAAAAATTTTCTTGTTCTAAAAAGTCTGACTAGAATTCATTCCACATGATTTTGTATGAAGATTACAAATGAGACTTAAACGTGAAAAAACGTTTGACACACGTTTCAAGGCATGATTACAACTTGGAAAAATTCTAAGATGTGTCCCATTTATACTTCAGCTACCAGCTAAGAAGATTAGATAAGAGCGTCTGATATTTTAGAAAAAAACAAATACTACCGCTACATGTAGTATGAACGATTATCTACCATCCACTCAATTTTGATGTTATTATTAGTCTGGGATATCAATCCTAGTCCTCCAAGGAAATCTAACGTCATGTCTAAACGACACAAAATGACGATTTCGCGTGACTCTTATTTAGGTAACTTTATTTACTCTTATTTTTAGGTAACGCTTTTGGGTAACTATCTATATAAAGAAACAAATGACCCTGCTTTTAGAAAAGATTTTGGAACACTTTTGTAGTGTAAAAGGATGCTTCAAAGTCTCTTCTCCCAAATAGCGAAACTGCAGCTCTTTAGCTGTTTTTGATCTGGATTTATATAAAGAATAATCGAGTCTGCTCTTTTTTTCTGACTGGTATCGAATACTTTATGACTAACAAAATATCCATAATTTTCTTCTACTTGTCTCTCTTATTGTACAGCTAAATCGGGCAAAACATCTAGAATACAGAAAAAACTCTGAATTCAGCCGTGTCTCACGAAACAGGTTTTAGAAACTTTCTTAAAATTCCAAGGATAGGAAAGAGCCGTCATGAGAGAAAGTTGAACCCAGAGTTTTTTCGATGCTTTAATCGAAATCTAGATTTAGAAATTGTTCAACCCGACATGAATACGTTCCTAACGCTCAGAGATTTACAGTTTAAGGATACTCTAGGATTCAAATTTCTTTTAATAAGTTCTCCATAGTTCAGTTTTCCTTACATTAATTCCATATGTAATAGCTCGGGAGCAAACTCTGAAAACTGATTATCTCGCATATTAGTGTCTGCCTACTTCTAATTTTATTTATTAGAATTAGTGAAAGACAAACTAAAGTTAAAAGAAAGGGAAACCTGAGAAAGTATCATTGAATTCATAACGGATTGCATTTAAAAGGGGAACACATAAGCACAACAATTGGATATTGTCTAATTTGTCACGTAAAGCATAATATAAAGTATTCAAAAAAGAAATATTCAAACTGTTACCTTGCTGAAGCGCAAGATGCTAAGCTTCTTATTGAATTTCTTAGTCCAGATGTTCTTGATCGTTTTAAAGAACTATGTTCTTCATTATTTTGTCGTCTAATTAATACTGGACTATTTTGACGAAAATCGGTTGCACTTTGTGATACTTGCATAATAATAATAATAATAATAATAACTTTACGTAAATGATATTAAAATTAGATTAAGAGTAGACTATTAATAATTAAATAGTCATTCTTCTCAGTAAATCGTAAGACCTAGTAGTAATAAATTAGTAGATATTAATAATTAAAACAAGTAGTTCTCGGTTGTCTTTTGTTATAAATTAAAGTGGAGAAGAGGGTCACTTGTCGGTCATTTGTTAAAGCTGTCATCTTTCAAAAAAATGTCTCATATTTGTATTTGCGTGATGTCTTACCTTTCAATCTTATATGACTCATATAATTAATAATGATGTGTTGAATTTACTGTTGTGTTTAGATTAAAACTAAAAGAACAGAAGAATAAAAAGAAAAAAAAACGCGAGCGCAAGAAGAAAAAATTTTCTTTGTACATATAACAAGACTATTCAGACTGCTATGATAAGAAATTTCTTGAATATGAGGTCACCCTATTTGAAGGATGTTTCATTTTTGTTCTGTTCTTTCGTTGTACAACACACGGCTCATACACCTTTTTTCAAATATGAATCAAAATATTGGGCGGGTTGTTTTTACTGTTTTTTTCTCTCTCTCGCTTTCTGTGACATTATCCATCCATGCAGATGTTTTTTGTTTTAGACATGAAATTTTAAATACTGTCTCGTTCTTTCTTTTTCTCAACATACGCACAATGATAACAAGATATGGCACTCGTACACAAACAAGCGAACCATATAGTGACTTGACCAACGTATAGAATAAGAGTGAAACTGTAGTATACTAGTTTTTCTCGTGTATCAATCTATAAGAAACAAAATATTTTTGAAAAAAAACGAGTATAGCAGAGAAAACAAATGATACCGTTCAAGTTATGACACAAATGGTTACCAAAGAGGCTCCTGCTTTCAGAACTGTGAAATTAATTAACGAACAACAAAAAACAGGCGTGTAGCTAATGGCGTCTCGAGGCTTTTGAAGCAGCGTGCAAACACAAATTTCGCAGCAAAAATTTAAAAGGTAGGGACTACTCTTTCCTCATGAAACACCAATATCTTTCTTCCCTGCGTGATACGGATAAATGAAGTCGAGTTCTACTAACTAAACCGCATGCTCAGAACGAAAACTGAAACTCTCTCTTTCAATCACTACTAGGTGCTAAAACGCAATATCGAAATCTTGTACTGAAAACCTCATTTAGAATATTGAAAAGACGACAAAATGCACGATTATCTGTATTATCTAGTCCACTGTTGACACCTGATTTTTTTTTGATAAAAAAAAGCCATTTTGATAATCAGCTTACATTGGATAAAATATCTAGTCTACACTACAGGCTGCTACCTACCAGAAATACCTCTGTGTAGTCAAATTTTCCGACAAGTTTACTGGAAAATACTGGAGCAGATATTTCTATGAAAGTGAATATTTTAAAGCGGGCGCCGTCTGCTGGAGAAATGCGAAAATTTCGCTAGCAAAACAACAAAAAATTTCTTTTTCAAGGAGCGGCTGACTCCCTTCCGAATTAAGCCAATCAGTAGGATTCTCCAATTCCCATGGAATTCCAATAATTACAGTTCCGCTTAGACGAATCAGTTCCGGACTTTCTGTGAACGATCTCAAAACTCCTTGCACTACAAACTACAACGAAGTGAAAGTCACAATTCTCGAATTCCAGATTAATTCTGCTGGAAACTTCTCACAGAGTATCTGTTACAAATTTTTTCTTGAATATTTATTTAGATGTTTTCTTCCTAACGGAATTACGAATCGGAATTCGCATTTTTACAGCTGAATTCCAGGAGTAAAAAAATTCTTATTGTGCGTTCAAGCTAAATTTTTCTTAGCGAACACATAGATTGATCCCACTATATAATCAAGATTATTCAGGCATATTCAGGTTGTTATTTTTTGAATTTTTGTATTCTTTGAATTGAAAAAAAGAAAAAATGTCTCTCAATTGTTGAATTCCTGGATTCTTGAATATTCCTCAAATCAGGAAAAGGCGATTCTAATTTCCGAATTCTTGATTTAAGAAAAAGCTTGATATTTATTTCTGAATTCTTTCTGTTAATTCTCAATTTTAGAAAATTCAGAAATTTAAAAAAGACTCGATGCTAATTCTTGAATTCTTTCTGCTAATCTTGAAGATTTTATCAATATAGAGTTCTATGAAGTTCCCTGCCCCTTGACCTAGAATTCAGCTTTCATTCATGAAAGAAGAGCTACTAAGTTGTATAAAAGTTAAAAAACAACACAGCTACATTGGCGAATGGACCTGAAATTGCTATTTAATTTTTTAACTTTGTAAAACTTAGAACTGAGCTTGAAATTCAATGCTGTGAAAAGTATCCAGTTTACCACTAAAAAGATAAGTCTAGTTCTAAATAGGCGTAAAGTAAAAAGTTTTCTTAGAGAAATAGCGTGAAGTAGAAGAAATCCCTCTTACATACATGTTACCAGCGACAACACAAGCAAGAGGCATCTGACGCACTTTTAATTGGGCGAATTATTCGAACAAGGTATACAAAGACGACAAAAAAAGACCAACCAACAATGGCATATTGAAACAGACGTATAACGTTCTGTCGATGTATAATATAAGAGGAAAATAGGCGTCCTTATTTGAACGAAACAAACGCTTTCTAAGACGTGGCTGTTGCTTTACATATCCATCTATTTTCTTTCTATTTTTAATGATTCTACTCGCACTCTGGGTCCATCAATTACTTTGTCCAATTTGAACGTGTTTACTAGTAAGTACTGCTACGCATTCAAAACGTAAGATATTTCTTCCAGCTAACAGAATATTTTTGAACAAGAACGTTTAAGCCTTCTTGTTTGACAGCTTTGCGTTCTAGAAAAAACAAAACGGACAATTTGCTTCTATTTCGTCTTAAGCTATCCAGCATCGAGAATACTTTGTAGACAATCTCAGATGAATTACACTTTCTGGAAAATTAGATATCAATCTTGAATCATATGGGGCGCAATTTTTTTCTTTCTTAGTATCGGAAAGCATCGTATAGGATTTCAAGGGCTCTAGAAAGCTCTGGCAGACATTTCCCCCCTTGTTTGAATCCATAATGAGCTCCTAGGGATTTCCCAGTTTTCGAGAAAGCTACTAGAAGTTTTTTAGGGTTAGAGGCAAAGGTTGATTGTTTGACTTTTAGGATTGAAATCGCTATTAACACCAAAATGGCTAATAAGTCTATGACCACAAAAGCTGAAGATGAGACGTATCAGCTATTGGAACAATTGGATCATATTCTGAAACGTCCAGAAACATATATTGGCTCTACAAAACCAACTACAGAGGTAAGAAGTGTTTTTGTTGGTGAAAAACAGAAGTCGATGTTGATTTTTTCTAGGATATGTGGATAGTCGATGACAGTGGGGAAGAAGTTAAAATCATTAAAAAAGAAGTAACATATGTACCCGGTTTATACAAAATATTTGATGAAATATTAGGTACATTGCTGCTGTGTCTAGTGACGTTAACTGAGTTTTAATTCATTTTTATTTTCTAGTCAATGCTGCTGATAATAAACAACGTGATCCGACAGGCATGTCCTCAATCGATATTCATATTAATGGGTAATTATTTGTTCTTCCACTTTTGTCTCTTTTTAAAAAATGTGTTGTTTTTTTCGCAGTGAGAAAAATGAGATTAAGATTTGTAATGACGGCAAAGGCGTTCCAGTCCGAAAATGGGCGAAAGACGAAACGATTTATATTCCAACATTAATATTTGGTCAATTATTAACATCAGATAATTTTAATGACGATAAAAAACGAATCACTGGTAGGAAGATTATGCTGCAAGTTACTAACGTTTTATAGCACTTTTGTTTTTTCTTCAGGTGGTCGAAATGGCTATGGTGCAAAAGTAACAAATATATTTAGTTCGAAATTTATCGTTGAAACATCATCTAAAGAATTTGGAAAAACATTCAAGCAGGTATGAGAGACGACGATGGGATAATGTTTTCTTGCGTCAAGTAAAGCTTCCTTCCTGCTTAGGTTTGGACAAATAATATGCGTTCACCAGAAGATGCACAAATCACAAAAACTGGTGAAAATGCCAAAGAATATACAAGAATCACATTTTATCCCGATTTAAAACGATTTGGTATGGATAAATTAGACGATGATATGATTTCATTATTCAAACGTCGCGCTTACGATGTTGCTGTATCCACGAACGTAAAAGTTACACTCAATGGGAAAAAGTTAGCGGTAAGTTCGGTAAACACGTACAGTTATTGAATAACATGAGAAAAGTACGATATTCTTCCAATGCTAAACATTCCGAGACAATATCTTTTCTTCGGTCGCTGTGAGTAGTTGCTGATTATAAAAATATAGCTAGTTATGGATAGTTTTTGATGCTGATCATGAGTCTGATATCCGTGAGAATGAGTATACAAAAGTATTGAGTATACAAAAAGTCGAAGATTTATAAGGAAATAACTGTTTAACTTACTGTTTATATGTACGAGGTTGCCAGCATCAATAACTCGATATGTTCTATAATCTGTTTGTATCGGAGTTGGCCTATGTGAAAGTTTGTCCTGAATCTCTGAAGATTCGTGCTTCAGGAATCCATTCAAGAGAGGTCTTGCAGAAGAAACGGAGATGAAACTCGTGATCAACATGGAAAACTACCCATAATCGGCTATATTTCAAGAAAAACTCAGCAGAGACCGTCCCTTATCTATAGTTGCTTTAAAATTAGTGCACAAAAATGTCGATTTAATAAAAAAATGGATGTCTGATACTTCCAGGAATCATCAGAAAATATTTTGGTAGACAAATTCAAAAAGTACCCGTCGATAGGATCAGTACACGAAAAAGCAATTATTTCAGAATTTGTACCACAAAGGCATACTATCTCTGAAACAAATTTTTTCTCATTTTCTGCTAGTGGAAAATATGGCTCATACTGCTTTGAATAACTCGCACAAAATCTGACGAACCTTCTAAAGTCACTAATTCAGTATATCAGTGTGTTCTCGCGGATATTTTCACATTGTTTATGTTTACTCGAGAAGGTTGTTCCAGGCATATTCTACCACTCTGACTGGCAGTAGAGAATATAAGCAGGAATCATCAAAAGATATGATCTCTAAAAGAAAAAGGGTATTTTATAGAATACGAGTTTGCAATGAAAATTCTATTATCTTGTTTTTTCCATAGATAAAATCACTAAAAGATTATATTCAGTTATATGTTGATTGCGAACCAAATCAAATTGTTCATAAAAAGTTTAATGATCGATGGGAAATTGGTGTTGTTAAAAATGAACAATATTCATCTGGTCAACAACAAGTTAGCTTTGTTAATAGTATATTAACATCCGATGGTGGAAAACATGTTGATTATATTAGTGAACAAATAGCACCAAAAATAGTTGAAGCAATTAAAAAGAAGAATAAACAAGCCAGTGAATTAAAACCAGCTGAAGTTAAAAAACATTTATTTTTATTTGTTAATTGTTTAATTGAAAATCCAGAATTTGATTCACAAGCTAAAAAACAATTATCAACAACAAAATCACATTTTGGTTCGAAATGTGAGATTAAAGATGATGAAGCCTTTATCAAAGATGTTGTAAAAAAATGTGGTATTATTGAACAAGTTATTGATTGGTTAGAAAATAAACAAACAGCAAAACTAAATAAACAAAGTGGTTCAAAAACATCAAAATTAAAAGGTATACCAAAATTAGATGATGCCAATGATGCTGGAACAAAAAATTCGATTTATTGTACATTGATCGTTACAGAAGGAGATTCAGCTAAAGCATTGGCAGTAGCTGGCCTTGGTGTTATTGGTATGTAATAGAAGGTTTATAGATTTGTGAAGGATAAATCTTATATAATACTTTTTTCTTGTAGGACGAGATCGATATGGTTGTTATCCATTACGTGGTAAAATGTTAAACGTTCGTGAAGCAGCAAATAAAAAAGTTACTGATAATAATGAAATAACACAATTATGTAAAATACTTGGTCTCAACTACAAAGAAACATATGAAACAAAAGCTGATTTAAATAAATTGCGTTATGGTAAATTAATGATTATGGCTGATCAAGATTTTGATGGAAGTCATATTAAAGGATTAGTGATTAATTTTATTCATTATAATTGGCCAAATTTATTAAAACATGATTTCATTGAAGTATTTATTACACCAATTTTAAAGGTAAATGAAGAAAAAATATCGTCTTGAAAACGAGAGCATCGAGTGTTTATTGTGTCAAGAAGAAATATTTGGTGAAAAAAAACTGTTTAGTTGATCTTTTCGTTTGCGGGAAAATTATAAAGACGAGCAAATCATTCCAGCAATAGCAAAACAAAATCTATTCGGATTGAGTCGGATGAGTGAGACAGATATAAATGTCGAAATGCTACAATTTTTACGTTTGCTCTGCATGAAGCAACGTTTTGATAAAATTTTATTCGTTTTCGATTGTTGTCGTTCGATTTTCCAACAGCCATTCAATTCAGTTTACACAAAATCACTTTATGTTATGCTCTTCATTTTCTATTTCAGGTGACAAAAGGTAAAACAGAAATTCCATTTTATTCCATGCCTGAATTTGAAGAATGGCAAGAGAAAACAAAAGATTGGGCCAAATATAAAATGAAATACTACAAAGGTAATAGATTTTTTAAACGATTAAAATTTATATTCGAACTTATTGTTCGTTGTTCAGGTCTTGGTACATCAACCGCAAAAGAAGCAAAAGAATATTTTTCCACTATGGACCGTCATCGTATTGTACTCAAATATTTGGGTACCAAAGATGATTTGGCAATTCATTTGGCATTTAATGGAACGTTGGCTGATGATCGAAAAGATTGGATAAAATGGCATTCAGAAGATTTAAAAAATCGTCGTGAACAAAATTTACCAATTGATTATTTATATAAAAAAAATACAAAACAAATCAATTACACGGATTTCGTCAATAAAGAATTAATATTGTTTTCAAAATCGAATACTGAACGAGCAATACCAAATATTATGGTGGGTATAAGGCATTGGAGACGACAAAACTCATTATTTTCTAAGTACAACTCTAATCTATGCCTAATTAAAGTCTGCCAGAAGATTTTCAAGTTCGAGCTTCCATGTACTACTCCCGAAATAAATATCTTAGGAAACGAGCAAACGTTTTCTTGTTCTTTTAGGATGGTTTTAAACCAGGTCAACGAAAAATAATGTACGTTTGTTTTACAAAAAATATCATTCGTGAAATTAAAGTAGCACAATTAGGTGGGAAAGTTGCTGAATATTCTGCCTATCATCATGGTGAAATATCATTGACAAAAACAATTGTTGGTCTAGCACAAAATTTTGTGGGTGCAAATAATATTAATTTACTTGTACCAGCTGGTCAGTTTGGAACACGTATTAATGGTGGTGATGATGCAGCCAGTGCACGTTATATTTTTACAAAATTAAGGTATGTATTGAAAGTTAAAGTGATAGTATGTACTCAAAGAATTTGAAAGTCTTACTACTGATCTTGTGTTTATAAATTCTTCACGTTTAAAAAATCAATGTAATAACGATGTAATAGTTCTTGTGCTGCTGAATACACGTTCTCTTTTTGTTTTTAGTTCATTGGCACTTGCATTATTTAATAAAAATGATGAAGCACTATTGACCTATTTGAATGAAGATGGTATGAGAATTGAACCGGAATGGTATTGTCCACTTATACCAATGGTCTTAGTCAATGGTAAGTAATGAAAGATCTATAGTTACGTTAATGACTACTTATTTTAATCTATTTATTTTAGGAGCCACTGGTGTGGGAACAGGATATTCAACAGACGTTCTGAATTATGATCCAATGATATTGGCGAATAATATGCGTTACTATATTCGCCAGGAAAAAGAACGTCGTGGTATTACTTCAAATTATCCAGACACAATAACATTAAAAGAATTGATACCATCATTTAAAAATTTTACTGGTGAAACTAAATTGTTGGATAATGATCGTACACGTGGTGTTATTAATGGTGTTTGTGCAAAATTAGATGATCAAACAATTGAAATAACCGATTTACCAGTTGGCATATGGACACAAACATATAAAGAAGCCACATTAGAACAAATGTTAAGTCCAAAAGATGGCACACCACCGCTAATTCTTGATTATAAAGAATATCATACGGATACAACTGTACGTTTTGTTGTTAAAATGACTCCACAAGCATTGGCCGATTATATTCAACAAGGATTACACAAAGTGTTCAAATTACAAAAATCATTCAAATTGACTAATAGATGTCGTATAGAGAAAAACAAATTTAGAACACGTTTTCCAATAGAAAGTCGACGACTGTTACCACCTATGCACTGAAAACATCTCTTCTCTCTCTCTCTGCTCTCTACTGCAGTATTTATTATTCTTCAGGTATTATTCGATCATAATAATGTACTGCGTTTGTACAATAATGTCGAGGAAATATGTGAAGAGTTTTTTACTACTCGTTTATATATGTATGTGAGACGTAAAGAATATATGGTCGGTTCATTACAAGCAATATGTCTGAAATTAGATAATGTTGCACGATTCATCAAAGAGAAAATTGAAGGTGTTGTTGCTGTTGAAAATAAAAAAATATCAAAAGTTGTGGAAATGTTAATTGAACGAAAATATGATCGTGATCCAGAGAAAGTATGGCGTGAAGAATCTAAGAAAAAATTTAGTGTTGATATTCAACAAGCAACATCGTCATCTTCAAATAGTGATGATGCGTTAGACGATATGCAACAGAAACAAGATGAGGAAGAAAATGATGATGATGATGATGGATCTGGTAATCAAAATCAGCCAACGACTGGCACAGTGGCAGTCAGAGAGCGTGTTGATACAACATACTATGATTATCTTATTAATATGTCATTGAGAAATTTGACAAAAGAAAAACGTGACGATATATTGAGAGAACAAAAAGCAAAACATGATACATTAGAAGCGTTGAAAAGTAAAACACCGGAAGATTTATATGAAGATGATTTGGATAATTTTGAAAATGAATACAAAAAACAAATGACTAAAGAAAAAGCAGATGAAATGACTGATGTGGCACATTATACTACAAAAAAAGTGGGTGGACCCGCATCAAAAAAACAAAAACCAGAACGACAAGAAACAAAACCGGCACCACATGGACAAAAAATAGCACCTGTCATTGATCCAAATTTGCTGAAAAAATCGGAAGATGAACAAAAGAAACGAAAAAGAGAAGTGAGTTATGGGATAAAATCATTTTTCTATTGAATTCTATTAGTAGTGAACAAATACTCTATAAATAATAATTAATTTGTTTTATTTTTAGGAAAAAGTTACAGATAAACAAAAAATCATTGATTTTCTTATCCAAGAGGGTATTACAGGTGATCAGTTGGCAAGTTTAATCCCAGAAGCCAAGAAAAAGAGAGTTAAAGGTGCAGTGACTAGTGATGGTACGTCATATGATGAATCAATTAGATTATTGTATTTAGTAACTTTTTTCTTGATTTTTCAGGAAAGAAAATAGCTAAAGAAAAAGAAAGTCCCGTTGAAAATATTATTAATAGTAACACTGAATTTAGTGGTGGAAATGAATCTGGCAAAAGTCAACCAACAATCGAGTCGTATATGAGTAAAGATATAATATTAAAATCAAATCCAAAACGAGTAGTGAAAGAAAAAGTTCAAAAATATAAAGGTGCTGATGATAGTGATGATTCAGAACAAAAACCCAATGGAATGGATACAGATGGTGAAGATGATGATGTTAAATATCTACCCAGTGAGGATAGTGATTACGAAAAACCAAAAGCCAAAAAATTAGCAAAACCAAAACCAGCTACAAGTAAATAGTTTTTAAAAAGACTTTTTTTCCTTAGAGGTCTCTCCACGGTTGCATATAAAAAACTGAAAATTTTTGTGAAAATTCTGTGCATAGGCATGGACAAAAATAAAGTTGTCTATACAAATCATTATTTTTTCACTCTAAATTTGACAATTATTTTCTTGTATTCCAGCGTCATCAAATGGTACAATTGCCAAAAAAAGTGTAAGTCACGAATGAAACTACAATTGTGTATCAGTTGTAGCTGTCTTCCTTCTTTTTAGTCACCAAGCAAACCGAATGCATTTAATGTTTTAATGTCGTCGAATCAATTAAATGTTGTAGAAAAGGCAAAGAAAACACATGTATGTTTTCTATATCTCACGTATTGTAGTATTTAGTGATGTGTTTGTTTCCTTTTAGATAAAAAAAGAAACAAATGGAATTCAGAAAGAAGGAAGTGATATGAAAACAATAAAGCCAACAGTTAAACGAACAAAAGCAGTATGTATTTGTATTTGTGTGTGCTTCTTGATAGAGCTTAATCTATTTGTATATTGTAGATGATTAAAGATGAAAGTGACAATGAAGTCGTCGATCTCGATGATTCATTCTCGTCGGAGTCAAAAAAGGTAAGATATATTTTTTCTTGCTGCAAGAATTAAGAAAGGACGGCACAATTAGAAAAGTGACCGATCAGTCAAGGCTATATCCATTCATGAAATTCTGACTAAGTCAGATAAGCTAAAATATTCGATTCTCTATTCTCTGGTGCACAAATGGATTTCGGATTTTATTTTTTTTTAGCCTCGACGAGCTGGTGCAAAAAAGGTTTATACAATCGCTGATGATAGTGAAAATGATTTTGAAAATTAGAATTGATTTATTATTTGAATAAATTCAAAAACAACTAACTATTTTGTCTTTGTGTGTATTTTTTTACGATTTTTCTCTTCTATTGTCTAAATTAGAATTTTTTTCGTTTCTTTTTTTCTATCTTGATCTAGGTTTTATAATTTGAAAATGAAAATTTATTTTGTTTTGCTCATTTTTCCTCTCACTGTGTCAGATAATATTAGTCATGTATGCAATCTCTACTTGTTGAAATTAGCATTATTTTTGTATAGCTCTAGCTTTATATGTGTTTACAAAGAAAATAAAATAATAATGTACGTTATATGTTTGTAATAAAGAAATAATTTTCTATTGAACGATTTAAATAACTCAAGTACCCATGAGGACTTTTCAAGCAACTATCGGGAGATATAACACGATACTGGTGAAAAAAATCAACACTATCACGATCAACGCCCTCTTTATTGTGATAATTTTAATATCTCGATATATCCGGGTACTTGATATATTGAGATGTGCGTACCAGCGAGATAAGGTTTGTGTCTATCGCAAGGAAAGCGCGTATCCTGGCACGTTTTTCTTAAATTTTCTTACGGTCTGTGGAGACAGAAATATTATCTCGATAAAGCCCTTACTTATCTCAATAAAAGAATGTCTCTGTGGAACGCGATAAAATAAATATCGCATTGCAGCCCTAAATCATTTACTATCAGAACAAGATTGATGTTTATCGTGATACAAGTTATATCTCAATATATAGTCATAAGATTTTATCGACCTGGATTGAGATATAAATATAATCCCAATAAGGACTTAGTACAATTATTACAAAAAACAATTTAGAGAGATATTTCAGTGACTCATCCGTATATGGATATAACATTATATGAGCTTTTATCGTGATAAACTGTTTCCCCCGACATGGATTGTACCTTGTAATTCAGATCAGCGGCAAATCAATATAAAACTTAACTAAAGTATTAAATTAAATAATGTAAGAATAGTTTTAATGTTAAATGGCGGTCCAAAGTTTGAATCGCACGGTGAAGCTAGCTCATTGACGCTTTCTTGTTTATATCAGTTGAATAGTATAAACTAGCAGAATATTTGCTAAAAATATCAGCTCTTCAGTATGGATACTTCTGGAGGAAAACGCATAACACAGGGGTCCGACTTCGGTCAAAAATGATAAATGTCGCCCGCGCTTCCAACTCTATGCTGGCATTCTGAATATTTTCAAGGTAATATTTTTTATCAGAATTTAATGGGTTTTTATTTCAAATGGGCTTCAGAGTTTACAAAAATGGTTGTACATAAAGTAGTCGAAGTCCCATGTAAATATCCTGTAACAAAAGCTCTTTTCGTTATTATGATACTGGATACACTACACGATGCATGAAACAACTCAATTTTAATGAAATAATATCATAATATTTGTTGACGCAAAGAAAAAGATTAAAATAAGTTTACATATTTGTTTTATTCTCGAAACATTATCTTTCAAAATGTAACAAGACATGGTAAATACTAATGATTTATATAATCAAAATGTAGTTTAAGTGTTGTAAGCTTACATACGTTCTTGTTAATAAACCTTGTGATATAATATTTCGTCGAAATAAATTAATTTCCCGTACTCTACCACGAAAAACGTACGCCATAATAACGAAAGTAACAACACATTTCATGACTCACTAACTATCTGGTGTATCTTAACCGCTATAATGACCTTCAAATCTATGTTAAAACGAAGATAAAAAAGAAATGAACTTTTCTATAGATTCGCTGTTTATATGCTAAGTTGACTATGATAATGCATAATATTGTGTTCTAAACAGAACCAACAAATAACCTCAGAAAAATTTCAGATTATCAGCATGGAATTGAGAGCGCAAGCTACATTTATCATCCTTGACCAAAGCTGAGCCCCTGTGTCATGCGTTTTCCTTCAAAAAAGTACACAGATCTTTTTCATGTTTAATTATTATAATAATTTAAAATTTTCATCTCTTCACTTTAAAAACCATTAACTGAAGTTGAAATGTTTTAAAAATAAAGAAAGAACTAGCTCAGAGTATTCGGACTTTTGTGTAACGAGATAAAAGTAGAAAATATCTCGAAACCATGTTTTATTCGGCGGGTACTATCGCAGTAGGAAAATTATCGGATTCGTTGTCACGCTTCGCTGTGCGGATGACTTACGATTTATTTGGATGCATCGGTGGGTCATCGATATAATCAGATATCTCCACAAAAGAGCTATCAGCGTGTATAACGCTATAA